GAGAAGGTCTTGTGTGGTTTACATTGTATAGACTCACTTATTTATTACATGTGCATTCAGTCAGCTCTGAGACCTCAGAGGTTGCAAGGTCACAATAAAAAACACCTAGTGGGATTCATAATTACTCTGTGCAGATCATTCTTTGTTTCAGCACTTAACCCACAGGATGGTTTAGAGGTGTTCACATTATTCTGTGTTTAAACTAGACTTATATCAGACCAGCACAAGGCACTCTTCAGAAACTTCAGGCTCGGTTATACATACTGGGTGTATGGCTCCTTATTTATCTTAAAGTATAAGGTAGAAAGTAAAAATACTCCTGCACACACAGAAATACACTGCATAATTACTTTTCAACATTTCATGTGAAACATGTTGGGAGTATTTTCACTTTTTAACTTATCCTAGACTGATGTTCTTTAGCAAGAGTTCAGCTTTAATGTTTCATGTTTTATCTGTGGTATACGATTAGCTTTTCAGTAAGACAGCGAGTGCTAATATATATAGAATTTATTACAATGTGAACCATAAACCATTTTTTTTAAATGGACCTACAACACAAATATGGACAATATTTAAAACTCGAAGTAAACAGAAAGAGAGAACGCCTTTCCACGTCAGTCCACGCCAACGGATACAGACTTCCACGACAATAACAAGGCTTCCAGGTCTCTGCAGCTCTGGCACCAGGTGGAACTTCTGATCCACAGTGTGACTCTGGGTGGTGGAAGATGTGTAATAAATGCTTCAGGTGATGAAAAATATAAAGTAAACAATACAAAGGAGTCTTTAATAAATAGAATATTGTGGTGAAGTAGTTTTCCAACGTAATTCAATTCAAAAAGTGAATCTGATATATTCTAGATTCATTACACAAAGTGAAGCATTTCAAATCCTTTTAGTTTTCATCTTGATTACGGTTTACAGCTCATGGAAATAAAAACTCCAGTATCTGAAAATGTATAAACATTTTAGAATAAAAATATGTTTCTGTATTATAAATCATACATAAATGTCAACTGGAGAAGAGCTCTCTAATCAGCTAATTACCTCAAAACACCTGCAAAGGTTTCTGAAGCCTGTAATCTCTGTCTGGTTCTGATGCTCACAATTAACTTTTCCTCAGTATTCTAATTTTTTGAGATGCTCTTCTAAAAGATGCCTCAGTGTTTTCATGTTGACAGCACTATTATGTCACATAAGTGGGAGAAATGGAACAAGGGAGACTCTTTAAATGTTTTTGTGTTGTCCTTTTAAGACAAGACAATTTTATATCAGCTGTCAAATGTCCAGTAGCCAAGTTGTTCTAGTAATGTTACTTACAGTTAAATCAGGCGTGGAGGCATCAGATACTCAACAAGAATCTTGTGACCAATAAAAAAAGTACCTTTCTCTCTCAAGTGTCCTATTCCAGACAATAATCCCACACAGCCCTGCCAACAGCAGCAACGTTACTCAAAATAGCGGTGTGGGGAATTAATTAACGTGATAACAGCCATGGCTAACGTTTTACAAGTTATACAGCTTCCATCATGTAACTAAGGACTCTACTGCTAGCTTATTACGTTTATTACAAGTAACATACTGAGGTGATGTCCAAATAAACGACTCGCAACTAACGTTATGTAAAAGGGTTAACTGATTTGCTTCAAATTGTTCGTTTGAACTGTAAGTAATCATTAATTAATAACTGATTCATAGTTAACTGTTAACGTTGGTCTCAACAAAATCTAACGTTAGTGCTGCAAAATAACGTTACCCCATTAATATATTAAAAAGCATTTAAAACCTTGTGAAGTATAATGTCAATAACAGATATGGGAGTTTTTTTTTAATATATTCCGGTTTCTTACCTTGATGAGCTGACGACCATAAACTGGTAACAAAACGGCCACAGGTTCCAACCTCCACCGTACAGCACCGGGGGTTTAGAAGCTACCTCTGCTAACGCAGAGTAGCATATAGCATTAGCTCCTTAGCATGAGCTAACTCGGTCATGTTGAGCTAGGTGGGAGTGGTTTCAGCAACACGTCACCTCAGCTACACCCACGACCTGCCTCTTTGCCCATTTATGGTTATCCGGGAGTGACGCGCGTTGACGTGGTGCCAAGATGGCGACGGCCTGCTCCGCCCAATTTGGGCTTCAGAACTGCTCTTCAGAAACCAACGGGTGACGTCACAGATACTACGTCCATTTTTATACATTGAAGCATAAACATGTATTCACTTTCCCACCATTCATGACATTGCTTTCCTTCTGCATCAATTTTTCTCGTCCTGGACATTTAGGGATTGTTTGTAAACATTTCTCATCTCCACGGAAAACTACCGTAGTGGGTGTGGAAACATCACAATCTAGTGGCGGGATGCCGTCACTTCTTGGGTCACAAAATCAACATGCATTGTGGGAGATGTAATTTAGGGTGCAGATGTTACTTTCGGTTGTTCGATAGGCCGCGTCATTAACAAGCCCACAAGCGTAGGGATAACGGATCGCGGGTGGAAAAATGCAGAAAAAGGACGAGTTCTGTGTCTTTTAATGTCAGGGTTAGACTTTATAAAACGTGCTGCTGATGGAGAAAGTGGAGTAGACGGGAGGGGGGAGACAGAGAGGGGCGGGGCACGCCGATGTGTTTGCCTGAGGTGTAGGCTTCTTGTGTAGCAATCTGAGTGTGGGGAGAAGATAATTCTGAGGAAGGTCCGAAGCATATTCAAAATGTATAGGCCTAATAATTATGTTCCTGGTGATTAAAACCTGCTGGTTTGTTTGCTTGTGTGTTAAATCAGTCTTTACCACTGACAGCTTACATATCAATTATATAAAATAATGATGAAGCAATCTGTTGATGTTTCCTCAACTTGTAGTTGTCCATCTTTTATTCATCAGTCTCATTATTTTATATATATATTTACCGTTGATACTGATGAGGTTTCATAACTACACATAAAAAATGTTATGGGTAGGCTAATCTATGATTATTTTATGTGTCTCTGAAAAAAAGAATATGGGCCAATATATTGGAATTTCAAATTTTAGAATCCTCAAATATTTACATTGGTGTTGGTCTAAAACTGTCCTGTATCGGTCAGGTTATACTTTGATGTCACTCTGCCCTTCTGCTGAGTCCAACACAGCATGTATCACGGCCTTTTTGTTTAGTCAGCAGATATTCATGTGATGCTGAGGACGGTTGGCAGTCGCAAATATTTCTGACTCCAATCTGTGTTGACTGTTTCACCGTGTAGCCTACAACTTTACTTACAATTTACCTTTCCTTATCTACCAGACAGATTAAATCCCTCCCAACTCTAACAACTTGTGAATCACCTGTTTCTGAACTGGTGATGTGTAGAGTTTCTCTTCTGTTCTCTTTGACTCTTTCTCTCTCCACATACATCTCTGTGTCTCTGTCTGATCATTTGGCTGTTTATTTCAGATGTAAATGTTATTGAGCAAAAATGCTGTTTCACCCCTCTTACTCCTTTCTCAAGACTGACACCTCACCTCATTACTGCAGATTTTGTTCAGTACATTATTTCTAAATACTGCAGGCAAGTCCAAGAGGTTGAGCCATTCTTTTCTCTTCCATTTGCCCATATCTGCAATTGAGTCAGGTTAAAGCTACTATTCACCACCAGCAGCTGCAGGTAGTGAAGAAGTTGAACTGTGGATGGAGTGCTCGCTGGCTCATGTTAGAGAGTTAAGCATAATCTTGTTCTATGCAACAAAAGGGTTTCTTTTGCCATATATTTTGTCATATATCTGATGCCTGATATTAATTTCGGCAAACAGAGTAAATACATGGGAAACAGTTCTTCCATGCAGCCTCAATTTGTAATTTTCATTGTAAAATAGAATATTTCCTACTACAGCTCTAATTTATTTATTAGGCGGCATGTAGAAAACTAGCGTTCAAAGTGTCTTACTTAATCTCATTCTGAAGACGATAATGTGTGTGTGTGTATAATCTGTCTGCAAATCTAGATTTTATGTTTTTAACTGAATCCTGCTTGCAAATGAATGACTATAGCCAGCTAGCTGAACTGTGTCTGCCTCAATATGATTGTTTTAGTCAAGATTCTGTTGGGCCCCATTTGATCTCTGTTTTCAACAGCTCCCTATCTACTGGTTGTGTCCCTGATTATTTTAAAATGGCTTGCGTGAACCCACTTTTAAAGAAACCTGGTTTAGTTCCCTCCCTCCCACATAATTTTAGACCAATTTCAAAACTGCCTTTTATTGCAAAGATTCTAGAAAGAATTGTGTCCAAACAGCTGCTCACTGTACTGGAAAATAACAAATTATTTGAAAAGTTTCAGTCTGGTTTTAGGAAGTACCACAGCACTGAGACTGCCCTGCTTAAAGTCACCAATGACCTTTTAATGTCTGCTGATGAAGGTATGTGCTCAGTCCTGGTACTCCTGGACCTTAGCGCTGCTTTTGACACCATTGATCACAACATCATGTTAGACAGATTGAGGCACTGGGTGGGGATCTCTGGTACTGCCCTAGAATGGTTTTCATCCTACCTGTCAAATAGAAAGTTTTGCGTGTCTGTAAACAACTATGTCTCCTCGTTCTGTCCAGTTAAATATGGTGTGCCTCAGGGGTCGGTCTTAGGACCCATTTTGTTTTCCTTGTATCTGCTTCCCCGTGGACATATTATTCATAAACATGGCATTTCTTTTCATATTTATGTTGATGACACACAAATATACTTGCCTGTCAGATCCACAGACCCTGGAATGCTGAGTTCACTTAACAACTGCCTTTGTGAAGTTAAAAAATGGATGTCAAATAATTTCCTCCAGCTGAACTCAGACAAAACAGAAATCCTGGTCATTGGGTCCCAGCAGATGGCAAATCAAATACTGCCATATGTGTATGTATGTATGTGTGTGTGTGTGTATATATATATATATATATATATATATGAAGTAAATATGTCCACTGAAGTAGTTATTTGTCTCCTTCTGTCCGTCTTTCTTTTTATCTGCAGGGACCCAGTTCATTGGAGGATCCTTCAAGTCCCAGTTCAGCCAGCACACAGCAGCCTCAAAACAGACACAGTTTTGTCCAGGAACACTTCCAGGCTCAGTACAGGTGAGAAGCACAGGCATGAGCCGCATGCTCAGATATTTCAAAAGCTTTGTTTTTCGTTCTTCTCATTTGTTGGCTTTTAAGTTCCAGATGACGTCAAATCTTTGTAACCTTTAGGAATTCAAGATGGCCACAACACGACTGAACACACAATAAGCTCAAGTGTGGTTAAGTAGATTCTGTAGAGAAGTCGTTAGCGTAGAAGAAACTTTTAAGTTTAGTTAAAACAAGGAGATTGTTTCAGGTCTGTGTATGCTGACAATGGAGTAAGGCCAGATCTTTTTGGATTAAGACTCCCATGACGAATCATTATGACTCATAGATGGATCCCATTCATAACACTTGCAATGTTGAGTATTCATTAAATTCTTTGGGAGAACGCGTTTCTAAACTTGAGCACCGTTTCATCTTAAATGAGAATGCTTAAGAGGCAGACAAAGTTGAGGACTTGGAGAACTGAAGCCAATTCTCAAATCCTTGATTTTTATGGGTTCCTGAGTTTGCAAAGGGATCTTTTCAGTTTGTCCTTATTGCTCAAATCAGTTACCTGGCCCTTATTCTTCATATTACTCACTAAGATGCTCTGATCAGCTCTTTTTTATGGTCCCTTTTTTTCTAAGGAAATGAAAGAGATTTAAAAAATCTTACGCTTAGGGCTCTTTCCAACTGGAATCATTTACCTGTACAAATTTGTTTTATGTATTCATATGGCTTATTTAAAAATGTTTTATTCTCTTGTTTTAAAACAGATTGCAAGTGTCTTTAGCAATGCAATCACCAACTTTTTAACTCGTTATGTTATTTATTTTTTACTTTATGTTATTAAGCAGTCTTATTTTATATTTTGCATTGTTGTGTTGATTTGTATTGTTTTACTGTTTGTCCTTGTGTGTTTGTTTTGGGGTTTATTCTGATATAAATTAGCATATAACCTTTCCTTTTCCTTAAGATTTTAGTAAGAAGTAGGACGAAAAAACATTTTGGAAACTATCTTTGGTCCCTTATCAATTATGCAGAATGGATTCCACTGGGCACTACAGCATATAGTATCTAATATCCTGAGGTTGTGTTTGAATAAAAAGAGTGTAATACATTTCATTAAAAAGAACAGGCATTCAGCACAGGTTAGAATGCTTGTCCTCTCCAGCAGATAAGAATCAGTAGCTCGAGAAAGTGGGTCAGTCAGACCTGTGAAGGATTCAGGGAATTCATCTTCAAAACTGGCTTCTGACTGTACTTCCTTCATTCACAGTGGAAAGCTAAAAACGGAGGTTCTCTGGTTTATTAGACCTTTCAGTGGAACTGACTCTACACCTTTCTGTAACCATATTGGACTGCGTACATTTACTCTTACTTTCACCTTTCACTTGATTCCTGAACAAATGTAAATAAGGCGATATAGTTTGAAGACAACAACAGACTTGTTTCATTTTAGACTTTGTTGTTGTGATCTGATGACATGACTAACTTGGACATAGCAGAGGAGAAAAAGATTTTAGAACTTTTAAGGAAACACTTATGTAGAAAAAAAATGACCTAGGAGGAAGGCTGAAGTCAGAATTTGTCCCTGGTGAGAATCATTTCAGCTCTTTGTTACCCAGCCTGACTAAAGCTTGTGTGTAGCTTTTATGTATCAGGCTGAGGTGCACTGTCATCAGCAGTTAGGACAGAATGGAACATTTCCACATCTAGCAAAATAACAAGCCAGACAGTACAGATAACGTCTTTTGTGGAATGAAACATTTTACCTTGGAGAGGTAACATTTCATCTTTTTGGCAGGGACTTGCTGAACACTCCCTTCTGCAATGTAGCAGAACAAAGTGCCACCTAATTCAGACACAGCAGTGTTTCCTACTTCTACGAGGAAAATAAACAGTTTGTCCGTGCAAACGTTTGTATTGAACGCCTATGTGCTAATTAGTCCAGGATGGGTATAACAGTCACTGTGCAACACAGGTCACTAATGTTTGATATGGAAATACTTTTAGATTGACTATTAATGACGGTGGTTAATCCATACTGTATCAGATTAAATAAGGTAACTATTCTGACTGGCTTTGTCTTGTTAGTGTTGTGCAGCTCCAAAATGTTGTTTGCTTCGGAACTTAGTCCAGTCCACAAAGTCATTTAGAAAACAGACAGACATTTGCTCGTTTAAGCTTCTTAAATGTGAAAAAACAATAAACATGCAAACAAAAAATAAAATAAAAATGCCTTTCTTTTTCATAGATGCTGGTAATCTGAATATATATTTGGTTTTGGGGCTGTTTGTTGTATAAAACAAGACATTTTTCACTATTTTCAGTTTTTTCTTTTAGATAAAATGATTAATCAAGAAAATAATTATCAGGTTCATCAGTAATAAAAATAAAACTACCAGGCATTAATTACGTAGCTTTAAATACAGATAAACAGAAAACATTTATGACTTCAGAGGAAATCACAAACTGTGATTGATTCAACAGTTCTCCTGGGATCATTTTGAGATATTTAGCAGTATTGTTGAAAGATCAACTGGGGTGTTTTGGGCAGCTGCAACCGACTTCTCATCCATTTTTCAGTTTTCAGGCAGAATTATTGTTTGTGAAATGTAATCCGAGTGGTGAATCAGTTGGGAATGAAGGGAGCTGGATGGATTGATCAGCTGTTGACAGCTGATGACAACTCATCGAGGTTGACAACCTTGTTGACGGATTCTCTGGGTGCTCAGCCCTGCGGGAAACGAATGGACTTTTGGCAATTCAGTTCAATATGGTCTCTAGTCAGATTGTCAGAGTACACATTTGCCCTCATCACCACCCTGCTGTGAGAAGGTCGACCCTACTGTTTGTGAAATTAGGAGTTTAAACCAGGCAGTAAATGGGCAAAGGTTTATTTTTGTGTGGGCTTAGAGGAGAAACACGCCTGAACTTAAACATACATGACTTTTGAACATGAATTTTGAGCATGAATAAGTTAACAAGTTACCCATTAACAAAGTGAGTGTGCTTCTCCAAGATGTTTAGTCCACATACTGAATAGAAATTACTTTACACTCGGAAATGGGACATGAATTTAGTCAAATGTCTCTGGCTGAGAGGTGATCATGTTGCTTTCAGTCTGAATACAGGGACAGAATCACAGCCGCCCCGGAGATTAGTCCTGCCATATTTTATGCAACATGCACAGTCGCCACAGCAGATTAGTGTGTGAGCCAATAAATAAAAAGGTCAACCTCTAGCACTTGTACAGTATTGACCAGTATACTCAGGGTTAACCAGCCATTCATTCGTGAGATTATCCCATTCCGTCTTCGGCGGATGATGGATTGAACGGTTAGAGCGGGACTGTATCCATGCGGGGCCTGGACTCCCGTGATGCTCTCAGCCTGACTAATTTAAAACGGCTTGCACGAAATCTATTCATGGAGTCGGTCGAAGAAGAGACAATGACTCTGAGGGGTGAAGATGTTTGTTTAAGGTCTCCTTCAGTCCCTTTTTTCCATTCTCTCTCACACTACACACACACACACACACACACACACACACACACACACACAATGTCAGCCACTGCTTGCTCCACATGAAGCTCCAGCACATAGATATACTATATGTTGTATAGTGTATGAAGTCAAAATTCCCCATCATGGTCTTTATTAAATTTTAAAGAACACCCAAAATCAATGTCTTATGAATTAGTTGAAAGATGATGTTTGAAGTCAAGATCGCTTCATAAAAAAGCTAACAATAAGGGACCCTACACACCGTAATTACTCCTTTCATCCACACCCCATCTTTAAGTAGAAGTGCAGTAACAGCTTATTATTACAGCCGTTTTCTCCCGCTGTATCCATCAGTTATCACCAGTTGTAACATCCCGGCTAACAAGCTTATCATGTAACTGCAAACCTTAAAATACGGGACTGTGGCATTCACCTGAGGGGATATGAGTAAGATGTGTATAAATATATAGAGAGGAAGATAGTTGAAGGAAATAAAGAGCAGAAGATGTGATTTTTCACTCCAGGGTACCTCTTCAGCGTGGCTGTGTGGGCGTGTGTTGCTGGATGTGATGGTTTAAAGAACAGATGTGACAGACAGTGCATGGCATTTCTCCTATTTGTTATGACATTGCTAATGGCAATTACTGTCCTTATCAATCAGTTAATGTGAATACGTTTACAGTTGCATAGGGCTGTAACTATTAATCGGTTGAGTAAATCTTTTTGATTTAACAGAATTTTTTTAAAAATTCTCACATTTGAGGTATAAAATACAGTGTCCGCATTTATGCTTGACAAATGACTTAAAACAATTAAAGAGGTGGTATTATGGTTTATTGAGTTATTTATCTTTTTTGTGCATGTAATAGGTTTGCAAAGTGAAAAAGCCCAAAGTCCACCCCAAAGGGAGTTCGCATCTCCCACAGAAAACACTGCTCTGAACTGCCTGAAAACAGCTCGTTTGTAGTCCAGCCTTTACTTCCCTTTCTTGTGACGTCACAATGAAAATACGTGTCATAATGCTCGCTGAGCGACTACTCCGACACGCCCTCAAAAACACCTGTGGAAAAACACTGAGCTGCAGCACACCTCTCCTCTCCCTTCCAAACACTAGCTACCCTCCAGGCAGTCAATGGACATGAAGTGGTTACTGTGATGTAGAGACAGAGCTCAGTTAAAACTTTATGGATGAAAAATACTTTTGTTACAGATTAATAACTCACCACTCTGAAACTCTTGCTCCAGTCCAAATTGCCAAGCTGGTCGGCAACATGTAGCCTACAGCTGAATCGAAACTGTTTACCATCTTTTCGCTGACCCGCCTTTCTCTGCTTCTGATTGGCTAGTAGTCCTTAACTAGGAACTGCGCATGTGCATCTCCCAACAAAGATCATTTAGAGACAACACACAGGGTGAAAAGAGGAGGTGCAGCAATGTGCAGTATGACAAAAAATATGGTGTTTTTTGAAAATTAAACCATGTAAACCTGTTCTGGTACAACCCCTAGATTTTGAACCTGAA